TTCGTGTAGAACTCTCCCTCAAGCTAGCTGGTCGTGCGGGAGCCGGGAACAAGCCTCTGTGTTGTCAAGCCTCGAGGCAAGTTTGGACGAGGCAGGCACCATCTCCTTGTCCCTATCGACCTCACTGAGAAGTGCGGCCGCTGCGTCCACGTATCGCCCGCTTGGCGGCATGCCCTTCCACGCGACTTCCTCGTCCGCGCCCGTGTCTGGCCTGCCTCGCCTGGCCAGCACCTAGAGCCCATGAATCGTGCACCGCCGGTAGGAATCCAGGCACTCAAGTGTCGACATGTAAAAGATCGTTCGCCAGACTGCCCTTCAAGTCCCTAGTGAGTCAGAAAGAGTGCAAAGAGGGTGGTGGGATCATAATAAGACAAGACGAGCCACGCACACATGTATTTCCGATCGTGGAATCACGCACCAGTGGATGGAGGTACTGGACAGCAGAGGTGAGAGGGGCGATTTCGCCCTTCTTTGTGAGGGCGATGCTCCGTGCCCAGCGCCTGTATCCGCCAAGCAAGCTCCTGATCGTCCCTTTTTTCTGGTGCTACAAAAAGTAGGAGCAACAGCGAAAAGAAGAGGCACGGGAAAAAGGCTGATGGGCTTTTCAAAGTACAGGAGGCATGTGGACTTATCGCTCCATAGGACAAGAAAGTATATCGATGCAACGCTCCTACCGGGTCGTAAGTGTTTCCCTACCGCTACTGACGATTGTGCTGCTTGAGCGATGGAAATTCACGAAAGACAAACTGCATTTTCAGCCGGCGTGTCGAGGCAAAGACCATCTATGGAGGACTTTTCTGGCTTGCTTGACCGATGGAATGCTGCGTAATAAGTGCTGCATACTTTACGGTGCTACTTTAATCTTCCAGGGTGAATGCTGTTCCCACCACTATAGCACTGATAGAGCCTAGAGCGGCCGTTGGCTGTGTTGTGTAGAGCGTTGTGCTACTAAATTTACTTCGGCCCGAGCAGGAGCAAATTATATTGCAGCAGCAACTGGTGTAGAATATGCTGGAAACTGTGGTTGGCGTTTTCTCGATCTTTGGTGAGAGCAGCTGCAAGGTATGAATATTAACCGCAGGGCTCAAAATTTCAATCATGACACCAACGGCGATTGGGGCGAATGCATTGGATTTACCAGAGCCAGTTAGAAATGCAAAGAGCGAGCACAGACTGGTCGCTATGATGGGAGTAGAGAGAAGGAAGTGCTTTCCAACTTGAGAAGCTGTCCGTCCCTCTCATTGTGTGCTGTGTCCTGGTCTAATCATTAGACCAGTGAAGATGCGACTTCTGCCACCTTCCTTGCCTGGAGCCGTGCCGCTTTAAGACACTCTAGAAGATTTATCGGCCTTCATGACCTATTATAGGCCCGCAGGATATCAAACAGAGATCGAAGAAGGTTAACACGAATCCAGTCGTCTCATCGTTCCCCTCAGAGACAGTATACAGCATGCTTAGCTTCATGTGTATCCGACAGAGCGACCTCACGACGCACCACGATCTTGTTGACCTTCTCGCTCCTCAACACTTCTTCGTCGTCTACGCAACTCCGAGAAGGGTCGCTTACATTGCTTGCATAGCCCTCCTGTAGCTTGTTTCATGGCACACTTCTTACAGAGAGCCGCGTGCCTAGGCCGTAACATTTCCGTTAGTCAGGATGTATGCATGAAAGAAAGGGTTCGATAGACGTACATGCACGGCATGCACTCGTAGCTGATCTCGCACTCCCGACAGGCCAAGCATTTAGGCTCACCAGCCTGTGAGTCCCATAAAAGCCGGGTGTGGAGTGAGAGCTTGCTTAGGCGACGGTTGTCTATGCCATTATCTCTGAGCGGTAATTCAGTTATATTGTTTACTATCGCAGAACTGAACGTTCTCACAGCTCATTAGTCCGTCAAGGTGGCTAACACTTGAGGCTTCGGATTCAGGATTGAGAGAGACACTACTTTTCCTCAAGACACCGCCCCTTGGGGACCCCGCACGACCATACATCCAATATATCTCTAAATTTAAAATTGTAAAGATAGGAGACCTCGCGGTTGTGATGCATGACAGGGCTGTGCCTTTCCTCGTTACCACGCGTGTGCCGTACTCTTTCGGCCTATTCTCATGCCAGAAGATTCAAGCAGCTTTTCAAAACTCACCAGCTCTGTCACTGATGTGTCTTCCATCTTTCACGTCCCGTGTGTTTTGAAACTGCTGCGCCTTCAATGGCCTGATTTGAGAAACAGAAAATTGAACAAAGGAGCATGTAATAAAAGAACACGCACAGGCAAACCCCCCCGCCCAAAAGCTAGAAGCACAGAGCGATATGTGAGAATTGAGTGGCTGTTGTAATTGGTTTTAGGTGTGACACAGCTTCACTCTCGGACTGCCAAGGTTCGAAGAGGCAAGCGGGATGAAGACGATAAGAACAACTTGAAGGGTTCAAGCAATCGCTCCATCGCCAAGTCTCTAGTAGAGGCAGCGAGGAAGGAGGTGTCACGAAACCTTCATGGATAGGGCCAACATTGACAAATGTGCGGTGGAAAAGACAAATGCACGCTCGATCATGCAATAGCTAGAATAGGCATGTCCTTAAATGCCTCACCGCCCACTTTTTGTTGTAAAAATCTCTGATTGCACCTCAGCGATTTCAGACCCCGTCACTTCTAGTGCGGCGCATGAAGAGAGCAGCCATATCTACACAAAGCTGCCCCACAAATCAGGGAACAGTATAAAATTGAAGTGGTGAAAATCAAACGTTGGACGAAGATGTATAAATAAAAAGGCAGGGGCGGCAATCTGGAAGGAGGAAATGCGTTTCCTTCAATGAGAAATCCTAGTATGCTTCTCGAGCTCTCGAGGCTTCTGTAGGTCTTCTACTTTGTGTTATTCATGATCTGAATTCTTTGGAGCGAATGAATGGTTATCTTACTACGTATTTCATCAATGTTAAAGGGAATCATAAAAACATTTGAGACCGATCATACACACTTATGCGGCGCGTCTTCCACTTGGACAAATTGTTGGGACTAATAACTCCGGGATGATCCAATGTGAAGGAGTATTCCCAAGACTGATACGATGTCTATCGAGCCAGAAAAGTTTTGATGACCTTAGGTGCCCTCAAAGGTGGGGTGTCTGCGATCGAGAGGTATCAGATCGCATTCCAAAGTATGCGAATGAGAGTATGGCAGAAATTCGAGGTTAGACAGCCTCGAAAAAGAATATACACATGAGGTGGCGATGAAACGAGAGAACAGGTTGAAATGGGGAGTCGAATGAAAGCAAGGACCGTTTCTCACACTCTACGACAGCATGTAAATCTGAGACACCCGCAGTATCAAACCTTGTGATTTTATCAAGAGATACGGGAATGCGAGCTGGTCACTTGCGTTTAAGATTTTTTTAGTTTCCTCGCACGATTGCGTCCCAGAAATGAACTTCAGTCGTCATATATGCCTACAAATGTATGTGCTTGCAGGAAGGTGATGTGATGAATGATGCGATGTCGTCTATTTTATGAATGTACATTCCTCTCACTACTTATGTTCGTCGTTTGCTTTTTTGGTTTTCGAGTCCTTTCGTGCGAAGAAATGGAATTATAAGACATGATGTCTTAACGTGTGTGTGTAAATTTCTTTTGCTGTTGTTGCCAAAATATGGGCGTGTAAAATTGAAATGTGCGTAGGCATGCTTGACGCATTAAAATCTTGGAACTCTTAATGCGGCAAGTCAATCCAGAATGTAGACAACAGGTACCTTTTGGGTCGAGTGGCAGAGCTATGAGGTCATTCTCTATACTCTCATCATATTGTTTAGTCATAAAAGATGTCTAACGGAGAAGGTGTTGGAAAAGGACAGGGTTTCTAAATGAAACTTGTTTGTAGGTTGGAGCGGTGACCGAAACGGACCTGGTCGTACGCGTGACTGGACGTTGCATCGCTCCTTCTCGCTGCACAAGTGGCCAAATCCGAAAAGCCGCATAAATGTCACCAGGGACGTGAAGTCAAGCATATAACTCACGAACCATTTCTATATACTTTCGAAGGGTAGAAGGTCATCACGCATAGTACGGACTGGCCTCGAGTACTGGACACCTCGATCGGAGGGCTTCGTCGACAGAGGCGCTCATTTTGCTTTTCCCCTACCCCTTTTTCCTCGCGTCGCCCCTGAAGTAGTTGAGGCGTGGCGTCAACACCGTGTGCAGCACATGACTCGTCCTCAAGTACCTGTTTGACTTTTAGTGTGATGGATGATAATGACCGCGAGCCTCTAGCCAAGACCTCTCGCGGCTCCCTGCCTTCACCTTCCTCCAGCGTCGACGCCCTCTCTCCTGCTCACAGTGATGACGGAGGCCAGGACGAGTATCTTGTTGAGGGGCATCGATTAACTCAAGTCAACGATGAGACCGATGATGCCTCTACCCGCGTCACCGATGATTGGGCTTTGGAAGCTGCGGCGCAAGAATTGGAAGCGAGGCTTGCAAACCTACGCCGATACAGCAACTGGCGGCTGAATACTCGCCAATACCCGTCTTCCCCTGCCCTAGAGACACAACATGCTTTGTGGGCTCTCCGACAGACAGCATCAGGAGGGCTCAGCCTTGTACTGCCTCCTGCTATTGCCGAAGAAGAGGAGAGCGAGCATGAGGGCCCGAGTATGGTCCGCGGGCAGTCACTGTCGGCCGCCATTGACGAAATTAACGGCTTCATGTCACGGAGAGCCACAAGCGCTTGGAGACGCTCTCGCACCCTTGCTTCGGGGGGAAATTTGCCATACCCCACCTCCTCGTCTCGTCTTTCGGGTCCCCTTTTGCCCCTCTCGCAGAGGCAGCCCGGGGGGGCGGAGGGTCGTGTCAGTTTGGCGCCTGGCATTGGCAGCAGCACCGGCTCAGGGAGAAGCCCCGAAGCCCGAGGAGGGCGCGATGGCAAGGGAACGAAAGTTGTGGAAGGAGAGCGCGTGACGGCCTCAGCTACTCAGGAAGAGGAACAGCGTTTGCCACGTGACAGCCCCAGTCTGCTTCGAGCCTCGCTCTTGAGTAAGGCCCCACCGCTGTGGTCAGCATGGGAGCGTCTGGGGTGGACGATAGGCGACTACTTCATGTCGTTGGTGGTCTTTGTTACCATTTCCATCACTTGGTGGCGGGGCGCCTGGAACCTCCTCGACTACTACGTCTTCCCTACCCACCGGGCCCTCCGCGCTCTTGTGCTGACCCTCGCGGGCATGACTTTTAACGTCCTGGGCTTTCTCTGCTACCCCTCCCTGCTGCGGTGGTCGCGTCGGATTACCTGCCGTCGAGAAAGCTACGTGTTCGGGACGGTCAAGCGCCTGGTGTTGCTGCTGCGCATGCTTGCCTCGGTGGCGCACTGGACAGGGGTCTGGGACGCCGTGGACGGGGCTTTCTGTGGAGAGGAGGCGACCAGCGACTGCAGGTATGGAAGAGGTCGAGTTAAGCGTGGGAGTAGGAAGGAAACTGCCGGGAGCTAAGGATGGAGAAAGGGAGGAGGACCACAAAGTTCCTTTTCCGGCGCCTACACATGCGGGGCGTGTAAGCGCTCATGGCGATAGGCCGCCGTTTTGGTGGCCGGCTTTCCTTGCAAGGATCATGGCTACAAATCTGTCAGCATTGTCTTCTTGAGAGCGGCACGCCCACGCCTCTTTTAATGGCTCTTTTTCCTACCGCTTTCCCTCCCTCCCCTCCCAGCTTCGACTACAGCAGCTTGGGCACCATCACGTGCGTAGGATTGGCCGGCCTGGTTGCATTGCGGCAGATGAACGGGGCGGTCTGGGGCCCACTCTTCTCGGTGTCTTTAGACTTCCAAGACGAGCTTGTCCTGGATACCTCCCTCCGCTTCCACACGAGCCAGTGGCGAACTGGCGGCCAGGGAGAGGGGCCAGGAGGAAGGGGGGGCGGGAGGGGGGCACTGCTCTGGCATGTGCTGGATATCCTGGCGACCCAGTGGCTGCCGGACGTATTTGCCATTTTGGCATGGTACGGGCTTTATACCTGGCTGCCGCTGCGGTGGCCGGGAACATCGAGGAGGGAGGAACTCTTGTACGTGGCGGCCGCGATGGGGGTGGCTGTCGGGTGTTACGCCGCCCAGTTCGTGCTGGCAAGCTGGGTAGATGCCTACTATCCTCGCGCGAGTAGCAGCGGCAGCAGCAGCAATGGGGCCGGGGGGGAAGCGGTTTTGGAGAGAGAGGGCGAGCTGGGAGGAAGCCTGGGGAACGGCAGGCGCAGCATAGCGAGTAGAGGCAACCACAACCGGAGCACTCAAGGCGACTTGTCCATTCCACTGCAGGTGCCGGTTCCCAAATGCTGCGAACCACCCCCTTTTCTGTCGGGAAAGTACTTGGCGGAGCTCTTACTCTACCTGTGGGCTTTCTTAGCCGCTAACATGCTCTGGGTCTTTTGGTGGGATTTCCTCGACGACCACCTCTTGTCCGACCGGCCGCTGCTCAGCAACTGGCTCTGCGCCGTGGGTGGGCTCGCGCTGGAGTTCATGTTGAATGTGGCATCGACGGAGGTGGCGGGGGGCGTCTATCTGGACGGGGCAGCGGAGGGGAGCTCTGGCTTGTTCTTCCCTGTGTGTTACTTCGGAGAGGTGGCCGCCTACCGGGCCAGCCTCCGGTCTGCTCAGGCCTTCGCCGTGTATCGAAAGTCGACCATGGGAGGGTTAGCGGGAAGCGCTTCTTGCTCCTTGCTAGACACCGGGGCCAGGAGCGCTCTGGAAAGTCCTGTGCGGGAGATTGCCTTGCTGCGCCCCGGGTCTTTGGGGCAAGGGGGAGAGGCTAGGGGGTGGAAGGCCGGAGGGGCGGCGGACAAGATTGGAAAAGTGGCGGAAACGCCCACACTCGTCCATGGGGAGTCGGGCATGGGCTTGCTCGCGAATGAATCGGGGCGGTCGGACGACTAGGGAGAGAGGGAAAGGGGATGCAGAGATTTGTGGACGGATCGCAGGAGGAAGAACGAGGCGGGCGAGCCGGCCATCATTTGTTGCGGGAGAGGTGTGAATTTGAAAAATGTGAAAAGCAGACCAGCGATGTACAGCACACGTTTCGTAGGTTCAAAGTAAAGATACATGCCCTCAAGGGATGGAAGATGAAATGGAGCTTTCGCCCGAGGTTGACGTCCTGTTGGCGAATGCGATATGACTTGTTGTTCGATGTCTCCTGAGCTTTACTTTATTAGAAACCTGTTGTGCACTACTGCCTTGGCATGTCGGACGAGTCAAAAATGCACCGGTATCTCCTATTGTATCTTCATCCGGGGTTGTCTTCCTCCTCTTCCCTCCTTCAAAGCCTCCTTCACGTCTAGACGTTGAAGCGGAAGAGCATGACATCCCCTTCCTTGCACACGTACTCCTTGCCTTCCGACCTGAGCTTTCCGGCGTCCTTGACCGCCTTCTCGCTCCCCAAGGCGACCAGATCCTCACAGGACATGGTCTCGGCGCGGATGAAACCTTTTTCGAAGTCGGAGTGAATAACACCCGCCGCTGCAAGCACACCGAGGAAGAAGAAAAGAGAAAGGAAGACAGGGTTTAGAGATGTCCAACTCGACTTCGCTTTCTCTGTTAAGCTCTAGTTAAACGTCGTCGGACAACCATGACCAATCCATATCTCCCATACGATCCCCCGCCCCCCCCTTTCTCGAGAACCCCCGCCTACCTTGCGGCGCCGTACTTCCCTTCTTGATGGTCCAGGCACGCGTCTCTTTGGGTCCACACGTGAAGTATGTCTGCAATCCTAGCAAAGAATAAGTCTCCTTCACCAGCGCTCGCAGCCCACAGGCCTCCTCCTGCACCCCTAAAGACTCGAGAAACTCCTTCCGGTCCTCCAAGGGCAACTCCACCAGCTCCGCCTCCACCTGGGCCGAGACCAGCACCACGCCCGCCCCCTCTTTGGCAGCCACTTCCCGCACTTTGTCTACGTACTTGTTCCCTGTTGCCAGCTCGGCGTCACCGACGTTGGCTGCGTAGATTACTTTCATGCCTGAAGAAGAGGACGATGATAGGACAGCCCAGTAAGCTTGTGTGCCAATTGCCCTTCCTCACCTTCCATTCCGCGAGAAAAGGGAGGAAAAATCTATGTGCGTAGATAGCCTTGCTTGTTTCTGTGCTTATTGGGGCTTCCGGCACCTGTCCCCGGGGCGCGACACGTGCGCCTCGGACACTGCCTGTCGAACCCAAACCAACGTACCTGTGAGCAAGCCCAGTCGCCCCACGTCTGCCAATTCGTCTTCAGAGAGGAAAGGGAGGATTTCCCGGGCTGGCTTCCCCTCTGCGAGAGCGTCGTAGACCCTCTGGAGCCCGTCCCGCTCGGCCTGTGTCACGCTCTTGTCCTTGAGGGCGCGTTGTAAGCGCTGCACGAAAGAGCGGAGGGAATGCATGAGTGGTAAAAGCCGTTAGTGGGACGTCTTCCGAGGCTATTAGCGGGCATGTAAGCGATGAGCCACGACGCCAGCGAGGAAGCATGTACGATCAAACAGCAGACCTAGGGCACCCCGGCGACCAAGACACAGAAGCCTCAAGGCGTCGCTGCGCTTACCTTCTCCACCTGCGCCAGATCCGAAAGCGCGAGCTCCAAATTAATCACTTCCATGTCCCTCTCCGGGTCCACAGAGCCAGAGACATGGACAATGTCGTCGTTCTCGAAGCAGCGGATCACCTGCACGAGTCAAGCACATAGATTTGGGATCAGGGGGTGAAAAGGGAGGGTATTAGGAGTCAACGCAGAGCATGGTGCCTTGCGTAGTGGAGACTTGACGGACACGACAGCGACAAGACGAGAGAGTACGAGGTCTTGGGATGGAAGAGGGAGCTACCTGGACGATGGCATCGCATTCGCGAATATTCGCCAGAAACTTGTTCCCCAATCCTTCCCCCTGAGAGGCTCCTTTGACGAGACCTGCGATATCCACGAATTCGAGGACGGCGGGTAGCACAGACTCGCTTTTGGCGATGTTGGCGAGAGCCAGAAGACGTGGGTCGGGGACCTGGCGGTGGGAAAAAAGGAGGTCGAGGGAGGGGGGAAGGTGTGGTGTGTCTGGGTTTAGGGACATTGCTTCTTCTGTGCCCTTTCAAGCTGCCTGCCGCTCTCTTCGGGCTTTTCTTGTGGGATTAAGTGAGAACCTTTCCTTCTCCTCTTCGTCTCCCTCCTATAAGGCACCATAGCATCAATGATGTCGTCTCTGCCCTGTTCGGTGTGAACTGCTCTGTCACATTTAAATCACCTCGCGCTCCTCCCTCCCACTCTCACCTCGGCGATCCCCACATTAGGCTCGATGGTGCAAAAAGGAAAGCTGGTGTTTTGAACAAAAAGGGTGTTTCGTAAGAAGCCCCGTAGAATCGAACCGACGGTTGACATCCCATCACTCCTCGAGGTCACTACCCTCCCGTCTTCCTTATCATCCCCGTCTATCTTACTTGGCGGCTTGTGCCGTAGCGCCTCCGGTCAGGGCATTGAAAAGTGTGGATTTTCCGACGTTGGGAAGGCCGACGATGCCCGCCCGTAGCTTCATGCTGATTTGGTGCCCCGATACTGCTTGAGAGAGGGGACAAGGAGGGTGTAAGGGCCGAATGGCCGATGATTGGATAGCTATGCGTGTGTGTACAACAAATAATTTTGATATCAGGACCACAAGAGAGGCAACTGGGAAAGCCTTAGAGTGCAGGTTATTTTCCATACAATGAGTCGCAAGAGGCTGAAAAGCATTTTGCAATTTAGCGACCTCGACAAGAATGCAGCCTACTCTTCACGTCCTGTCCTTTGGATAGCTCTTGGCGCTTTGAGAGATCCTTCAACGCTCCCACCTCACAGTATTCAAAAGTGGCAGTAGTACAAGGGGCCAGTGTGGGTCTGACTTGAATGGTTTTTAACGGGATTCCTCCTTCCGTCATACCTGCGGCAAGTTGTCGTTGCGCTCCGCCCGACCACGGCTTGACAAAAGGTCTGATGAAGGCACTATTACTCCTTACCATACCATAACGAAAATTAAACATGCGTCGTGTGCAGTCTGCAGCGATGATGGAAAGTGATGGATGAGGTTGAAGAGGTTAGGGGTCACGCTGTGGCCCTTGTGGACAATATCGGAGACATTTGTGGTTAATTTAGATGGATCCCTTTCACAACCCGTACCTGATATTTGTTTTTTTGTTTCACGAGTCACCAAGGGTGCAGGAAAGGCAAATAATGTCGCAGCGCTTACTGTCACGCAGCAATACAGGAAGGGTAGGAGGCTGACTCGACGATTGACAGGGCCGGACGACATGGACCAGTGGACCTTTACAAAGAGGGAGAGAACAGGAAGCCACCCACGTCTTTCAAGTAAGCACGTCCCATAATTTGGAAGAAGAAGTGACTTTAGACATTTTTGATGCTGCTGCGTTAAAGACGGGCGATGTACGTGTGGCGGTGGATACTCATCTGGCGGCCGTCATTTTCCCCCCTTTTCAAGTTTCATTTTGTCAACTCCGGATTCAGAATCCGTTATATAGCTACTAAACTATATGCACAAGCATAAGAATAAGAGTGAATAAGATTAGGATGGATCGCAGGGCCTAGAATCGTGAAGAAAGACTTGTGTGTCTGACCCGTTCCGATCTTTCGGGCTCTTGCCTTTTGCTTGCCTCCTGCAGACTTTTGAGCTTACATTGATTGCGACGACGACGATTTGAGAATAATGAAAATGTGTCTTTTGACAAAGATGCTGTCTGAATGGATTCACGAACAATGCATCAGACAACCAACAAATTCAAAGCCTGCGCCGCAATGTCTGCGAGCAAGGTAAGGCGGGTGAAAGTGAAAACGTGCCGGCTGTGCACCGACATGTCAAGCGAAGCGAATGCAATGGCTTGAGGAACGCGTTTTGACAATTACATATAGCTGCTCTTTCTTCTTGCCTTCATATTCTGGAATAATTGGACATAGGCCGATGAAGAGATTCGGGCTTCAGGACTGAGACCTTCTCGCCTCAAAACAATGTCCTTCGAGCACGCATACTTGTACATTTAAAAATGGAAAAGCTTTCCATTACGCGGGCAACAAAGTACCGCTCATGCTCTTCTTCTTGAGATTTTTACCTATACCATTCTTGCTTTAAAGGACTAATTCTCACCGTGAGCCTCATCGCGAGGCATGCTTTTTACCAGTGCATCTTTTCCATCCTTCGCATCCACCTCCCCTTTGCCGCCCGTCCTGCTCCCGCGCTCATAAGCCCACCCATGGCTCAAAGGAGGCAGCATGCGGTGCGAGTTATCTGCAGGGGATACGTCCTTCTCTTGCACTTCATGCTTCGCATCCACCTCCTCCTTGCCGCCCGTCCTGCTTCCGCCCTCATAAGCCCACAAATGGCTCAAAGGAGGCAGCATGCGGTGCGTTCCCTCATCCGAGACAGAACCTTGGGTAGCAAGTTGTCCGTTCTGATCAGCCTCCGCATGCAAAGTGCCACGTAAATTGAAAGCGTTTGTGACGGAGAACAACAGCACGACAATGCTACCGAGGATAGAAAGGTGTGAGAATGCGATCATCTTTTTCGTCCAGACCGTTGTTCTCGAAGGGAACTGTCCCTCAAACTGTGGAATTTGGTGCGAAAACGAAGAGCATGTCAGCGGACTGACCATTTCGGAAAAGTATGTCGCATAATGTGAAGTGATTACAGCCATGATTAAATTCAATGCCAAAGACAAACAATTATCTGAGTTGGGGGTGAGAATTCAAAATTGACCTTGAGGTTCTCTAGATCTGGCCAGATCTTGTCATTTCAGGGAGTGGACAGGACCCCATGATTGTCTAGTCTTTGTGGTCAATGGCAATCACGTTTTGTTTATGGCGACACGAGATAGATCCAGCGCAAGCACAAGCCCGGCCACGTCATCGCCCCGGATCAAAAGCAACTAGATGAACAGACGTATCCGTGCACCTGGAACCCCCTCAAGCGCCGCAGTGGAGGCAGTAGTGTTGCATTGAGGGATAATTGGCCCCACGTTCTCCCGGGATACAAAAATGGCACATTTTTGGGGGATCGAGTGGAGGGGTTAGAGGGGGGCTGACAAAGCAGAACAACGCCGGAGGCTGGACGCCAAGAGGCATCTGCTTTTGCCTTCACAGCAAATATTTGACACCAGGGTATGGCGGCGAGACGCGGTGCAATGTGTTATTTCAGGCCAGAGGTCTTCTTTCTCTCGCTACAACAGTAGTCATAGTCATTGCTGGATGGTTCAATGGTCATGGGCATAAGATCTGATGGTCGAAGGGCGAGATGTAACGAGTACTCCTGTCGAAGCCAACGTGGCAGTCCCCATGAAGCTTCACTTCACCCTAATTTTGCTGCCGCTCGAGATAGAGACAGCTTTTTGCGACTGTGGAAAATTATATGAGATACACATGCCATGTTCGCGTGCTGAAAAATTGGTACATGTTAAAGGTACCACATTTGGATCATGTGAGAAGGGATAACGGATACGCAGCACGGCAGGTGGAGATGGCCCCTCCTTTGTGAGACGCGAATCCCTTCCCGTCTCACAGGGGCATTGCATATGCAAGTCCTGTGTGTATGCCGTGGCATAGATCCAGTGGCATGTAAGAGCTCTTTAAGATGCCCTTTCGTGCGGACCTTCTCATTTTTGGGCAACAAAATGTTTCATCCCTCATAGATCTTGCTACCTTCATCGAAAAAGTTAATAAGGAAGCCCAAGATGACTCTCTCGGTCTCCCGTATGTGCTTGGCCACAGCTGCAGCACTTCTTCTGACAACTCCTATGACTTCGGCGGCAAATTTGCGCCGCGCTCAGGCCGTAGTCAGTGAAGGTAAGTGTTCGCGGACCGATTTAACCCTTGTGTTTATCATCCAAGGAACATGCACACGGGCCTACCAATTGCAGGTCCTGATTTGAGACTTATCACGCAACAACCTCGCACTACACTTACATCTCGGACAGGTGCTGCGGCCGAGGAAGGAGACAAGGCCCCGCTGTCTCGTGGATGGGCATACGGCGGACGGGACGGATCTCG